CGGGGGAGGAGGCCGGGCGGGCGGGGACGCACGGCTGACGGGCTGCAGCTCTTGTCGCTGTAGGTGAAGAGCTCGTACAGCACCACGCCGAAGCTCCATACGTCAGACTGCCGGGAGAAGATGTTGTCCGACAGGGATTCCGGGGCGTACCTGCGGGGGCGGGGCGTGGTTAGAGCGGGCTGTGGGCGTGGTCGGGCAGGAAGGGGCGTGGCCCCGCGGGGCGGGGCGGGGTTAGAGCGGGGGTGTGGGTGTGGCTAGGGCAGGAAAGGAGCGGAGCCCTGCGGAGGGCAGGACGGTGCATAGTTGAAGCGTTGTGGGGGCGTGACCAGGACAGGAAGGGGCGTGGTCGGGGCGGGGCCCTGGCGGAGCGGGGCCAGGCACCCCGAAGGAGGCGCAGAGGCTCCCTGGCACTAAGGGCGCGCCCGTGGGCGTGGCCAGAGTGGGCGGGACGCTAAGGGGATAGGGCGGGGCTTGGGGCAGGTCAGCTTTGGGTGATGGGCAGGTAGGCATAAGTTACAGGAGCCAGAGTCGGGAGGGCAGGGTAAGACGGAGTGGAGATGGACGGCGCCATGGGAGGGGGGGGGCCCCCAGGAACACGGAGGGCGGGGCCATGGGGAGGGGCGGGGCTAGGCAAGAGCCGCCGAGGGGGCGGGGCCTGGGTGGGGCGAGGGTGCGGTCGCCAGAGAACGGAGAGCGGAGAGGGGCGGGGCTTCGTTGTTGTGGGCGTGGTCCCGGTGGGCGTGGCGTCTGGGGCCTGGGCCGCGCACCAGAAGATGGGGCTCTGGCCCGGCTCGCGGACCACGTAGTAGTCCTTCCCGAGCGGCAGCAGCTTGGCGAGGCCGAAGTCCGCGATCTTCACGTGCGCCTCGCTCTCCACCAGGATGTTTCGCGCAGCCAGGTCGCGGTGCACGCAGCGGCGCGCGCCCAGGTACTCCATGCCCTGCCAGGGGCCGAGAAAGCGCGTGGGCCCGTGTTCCGGACCCCAGGACTCCCGACCCCCAGCGCCAGGGTCTCCGGGCCCAGCGCCCCGGCCTCCGCAGGGCCGCACCTTGCAGATCTGCCAGGCGAACAGCAGCAGGCGGCCGGTGTGCAGGCGCGCGCGGTGGCGCTGCAGGAAGTCCCGCAGGCAGCCGCTGGGCAGGTACTCCATCACCAGCCGCAGGCTCTGGCGACCTGCGGACAGCGACAGCAGTTCTTGCGCACCTTCTGCCGGTGCATTGGTGCGTGCAAGCCCCAACTACGGAAGCTGAGTCGCATGGAGGCCCGACTGGGAAGGGGTAGAGGCAGGGTTCGAACCCGCCCCGAATCCCCTGCCGCCGCTCACCCGGCCCGTAGCTAACTCCCCGGTACTTGACGATGAAGTCACTGTGCAGCGCCTTGAGGATCTGAATCTCGCGCTGGAAGTCCCTCTGCTGGTCTGGCCCACTGTGCTGGAGCTGCTTCACTGCCACCAGGGGTCCTGTATTGTCCCCCAGGGGGTCGTAGCGGCACAGCTCCACACTGCCGAAGTTGCCCTGTGAGGATGAGGGTCAGCTGAGGGCGCCGGCTGCAGGGCCGCCTGCCCCGCCCACTGGCGCCCGCTGCCCCGCCCACCCGCACCTGCTGCCCCGCCCACCCGATGCCCCGCCCACTCGAGCTCGCTGCCCCGCCCACCGGCTGCCCCGCCCACCTTGCCCAGCAGCGAGATGTACTTCAGGTGCCTCTCCTCGAAGATGGTGGGGTCCTGGCAGGCGTGCAGCTGGGCGCCACTGCACAGCTCCTCTCGGGGACTCAGGCTGCCCGGCGTCGGGTCCGAGAGGAGCTCATAATCTGGGGTCACATGTGCAAGTGGTGTCTTTGTCTGCCTCAGCCCGAGGAGACTCGCTGTGAACCGCACCCGAACACCGTCCCCTGTGCACACCAGCCCGTGGGCACCTCGCGGGAGGCGGGAGCCATCACCGTGACCACAGCCTGTGACCCCGGGTCCCCTCCGATGAGGACATCGTGTCCACAGAAAAGATTAACAAAACAAAATCCCAGCGCCCGAGAGGGCGAGGCCGGAGTGGTCCCGGGTGAGGCAGCCTGGGCTACCGTGCAAACGGGTGCATGCGGAGTCTTGAGGCCTGTTTGCCGCTGCAGCTTCTTAGCTCCGACTGTCAACCTCCCTGAGCACACGGGCCTCGCCCCTCCCGGGTCCGCTCCTCCCTCCCGGGCCCCGCCCCCTCCCCAACGGGCCCCG